GAGCTACATTTTGAGTTAAATAGACTTTTGTGGAATAATCTTGGCATCTCATCCACACCATTTACAGCCATTGTTTCTATAGGTTAATGGATTTTTATTTCTGAACAAGTGACCTATAAATGAATTTGTGGAACACATATTCCTTGCTAAGTTAAGGACTTTTTGTTTTAAAAAAAGTTAATTTAAAATTATAGATTCCCTACCCAAAAGAGTCTCCAATCTAAAGCAAAGATAATATGTAAAAAGATGTAAAAGCAGATCAGTCTTTTAAAAAATTAGCTTTTATGTGCATAAGTATGAAATAAAGGGATACGTTAGCCATAGCCAAAGTCCAAACTCCTCTAATGTCAACATCAGCATAATCCAAAAATCTAGCAAATGTTTAAACTTTCTAAAAACAGAGTTAATTTATTAACTAATCTCAAAGAAGTATTACCCACATGCTTATAAACTGGATAGTTGCTTTTTTAAAAATGATGCTAACGTCTTGTCAAAATCTATTTTATTTTTTCCCCAAAATTTAACAGTAGTTTGAGCATGTACCATATTCCTCATACATGATGTTCCTAGGCTCATAGATTCAGAGCTGGAAGGGACCTTAAAAGTTATCTAGTCCAACCCCTTCATGTTTACAAATGTAGCTTTTAGTTCCAAGAAGTTTGTCACTTTCCCATGATCACATGGATAGAAAATGGGAGAGCTAGGATTTGAACCATTGTCCTCTGAATCCAAATCCAGCACTTGTTCCACTGAAACACACACACACACACACACACACACACACACACACATACGCAGAGCTATTTGCATGTCTATGGGCCCAGCAATGTACTGTATATTTATTGTCCAAGGATAAACTTAAAAATTTGGAAAAGTTTGTCACCAATTAGGTCAAAATATGGCATTTTTGCCACAGCAACTCTCAAAAGCCATCTCCTAAATTGTAGAGTTTTTATAACCTGCATGAACAGAAAGATGGCCTACACCAATATTTGAATTTTCTGACCACAACACAATAAAATTACAATGAATAATGAACCTTTGAAGCATAAATTAGAAATTAATTGGAAACTAAATAACCTAGTCCTAAAGACAGAATGGTTCAAAAAAAAAACAAATCATAGAAACAATCAATAATTTCATTAAAGATAATGATAACAATGAGACAACATACCAAAATTTGTAGGATGCAGCCAAAGCAGTACTTAGGGAAAAATGTATATCTCTAAATCCTTACATAAATAAAAGAAAGAGCAGATCAATGAATTGGGCATGCATCTAAAACAACTAGAAAAACAAGAAATTAAAACCCCGACAATAAAACACCAAAACAGAAATACTGCTAATCAAAGGCAAGATTAATAAAATTGAAAGTAAAAAAATCACTGAACTAACAAATAAAACTAGGAGCTGGTTTTTCAAAAACAAAACAGCACTATTAAAATAGTTAAACCATGTTCTAATTTAATTTAAAAAAAGAAAGAAAACCAAATTACCAGTATCAAAAGTGAAAAGAGTAAATTCACAACCAATGAAGACGAAATAAAAGCAATTATTAGGAGCTATTTTGCCCAACTATATGCCAATAAAACTTACAGTTTAAATGAAATGCATAAATATGTATAAAAACAGAAAATGCTCAGACTAAGAGAATAGGAAATAGAATAAATAAGATTATTTTAGAAAAAGAAATGCAAGCTACAAATGAGCTCCCTAAGAAATATACGTATGTATACCTATGGTTATTGCCCTCTTTAAATCATTCTTCCTCAACTTATGCTCCCCGTTTGGGTCTCCTGGGGAAATAATTGTCCCAAGTTCAAAAGTCTTCCTTTGTAGGTCCTCACTTGCAAATCTATGAGTTCTTGAACTCCCTTCAATGCTCAAAGCAAAGGTAGTGAGTAAAATGGCATAAAAAGAAAAATAACAAAATATCACCCCCATTAACCTGAAGTATACTCTTTCACAAATATCTGGAGTATCAATGGGAAGAATGGAAACACATGGGGTATACAAGTGGAGAAGCACACATGGAGGGAACACATATGGCTAAAGCACCTTATGCTTCTGGTGCAACTGGGCTCATGATGCCCTTGAGCTACTCCTCACTGGGTGAGGCATCTCTGAAGAGTAAGTTGCTCCAATGGGAACCCTGGCCATGCTCCTGGATGGGACACATGAACTCCAATGTTTGGTCTTGGTCTCCACTGTCTCTAGCTTCAGGCTCAGCTGAAATCCTGGCCTAAGATACTAAAAGGAACTTTCAGAAAGAACCAGAACCCATACCCTAGGACCAGCAGGAATCGTCACCCCAGCTCCAAGCACTGGATAGACACTTGACTCCTCCCAACTAAACTTCATAGCTCGATTTTGTTCTGCCCAGTGGTGCCATGTGCTCTTACTGGGAGAGGTAGGATAGAAGAAAATCCCTTCCTCTCTCCTACTGTACTCTCTAAGAGGTACAAGGGAAGAAGATAAAGAACAAACTTGCTCTTCAGAACAGATGCATGCTTTTTAAAGGCCCTGGTGGAGGGGATGTGGCAGTGATCCTTCAGCCAGACAATTAATAGAAGTTTCCTGTACTGTCAGTCACCTCCATCTGATGACTGATGCCCCACAATTCTATCATTTTGCATGAGGAACCTGTCAGGTTGTTTAGTAGTTTTGGTTGTTGGATTTTAGGAAAACTAAATAACACATACATATGCATATACATTTTTGTATGTATATGTGTATGTATATGTGTGTGTGTGTGTGTGTGTGTGTGTGTGAGAGAAGGAAATGGTAAACCACTCCAGTATCTCTGCCAAGAAAACCCCAAGTGGGGGTCACAGTCAGACAAAACTGGAATTGAGCAACATATATATATGTGTGTGTGTGTGTATATATATATATGTATATATGTATATATATACACACACACGTATACATACACACAAACACATATATACACACATATTATATATATAATACAAAATGTGTCTATTTTCTTATCTTTATAAAGTCTTCTTGTATAATAACTATATACATCAAGAATACCCTGGAAAATATGAAAAGGAAATGGACAGTTTTTCCAAAATGATTCTCTAAAGCAGAGCACATCTTTATGACCATATGATTGACTGAAAAGAACAGAATACAAAACTTTATGATGTTTGTTGTATTTATTGTTTGCTGATTATAAAAAAGCATTAGATTGGGTAGAATAAGATATAGCTTTAAAGACATTTATATGTTAGGATCACACACCACACACTATTTCTTGACAAATGCAACTCTGTTCTCTGATTATTAATACCAAATGAGGTGTAAAACAGGGAGAGAAATGCTCATTAGAGGTGATGCCACTGTTAAAGATGTGCTAGATGATATCCTGGTAAGGGACTTTCTGTAGATAATGAGCTATTCTAGATACTTCCATGTTGAGCTGATTTCATCAAAACCCAGAACATTACATGTCCTCCCCTATGTGACCTATGGCAGCACTTCTTAAACTATGGGTTGCAACTCAATATGGGGTTGCATAACCAAATGTGGGGACAATTTGGCAACAGTAAAAGGTTTCTGATCACTCAAGGACCAAAAATTAATTCAAAATCAAACACGTAATGAATCTGAGGTATTTCTGGCAGCATTTGCCTGTGTTGCATCACACAATTTCACTGTAGCCTTAGTTCTGAACACACAACATGTGCATTTTGCACTGTGCATGCTGTCGTGCCATGCAACACCAATGAATGCTGCCAGAAACACCTTGGTTCAGATTCAAGACTATTGTATGTTATGAATTGCAGTGTTTTTACTGCAGTGTTTTAAGTTTTCTGCTCTTACAGAAACATAAGTTTAATTATACAAAATAAAAACTTTTAATATTTTCCTACTGTCATTCCTCAGCATGTAAGTATCAAATTAATATATCTCTGGATTGTATTGTTAAAATGTTTGATTTTAAAAATTGCTGTTATCTCCTTCTTTTACAAAAACACTAAGTGTTTAATTGCAGCGAGTAAAGACAAAAGCCCTTTAATAGTATTTCTCTACCATCACCACTGTATGTGCATGTAAGTGTGAACATCATTTTTAAAAATTAAGCACAAACAAATGTAATTTCATAAACTAAAGCTAGTAGTTGAGAAACTATCAGCAATATTTATTTATATCTTAGGACAAAAATATTTTTCGGTTATGGATAAGTGGCTAAATTTAGGAGATTAAAATACTGATGACAATGTGGCAGAGTCTTTACTATCAGGTTGCAGTACACCTAAATTGACAAGAAAAAGAAAATATGTCAAATCATTTCTGCAATAAGGATTTACTTCTAATAATGACGATGGTGTGGAAAAACCTCTTTCCTTAATTTGTAATGAGTTTTTGGTTGTGGAGAGCATGAAACCAACCAAACTAAAACAGCATCTTAATATTAAGCATGCAGCCTACTGCAAAAAACCAAAGGAATATTTTTAATGACTTTTAAAATCTTCAAATAAAGAAAACAAATATTTTGAGAAATTTGTTATTGTCAACAAAAAGTATTTACTTGCAGCTTACAAAACTTACATAATCGCAAAACTAAAAAGCCCTACTGGATAGGAGAAGATCTCACGTTACCTGCTGCTATTAAAATGTCAGACACAGTCCACGGGAAAAAGTACGGGGATGAAATTCGTAAAATTACTTTATCTAATAATGCTGTTTCCAAAAGAGTTTCTGAAATTAGTAATGACCAATTCCAGAAGCTTATTACCAAGCTTAAGGGCAGCTCAAAATTTGCAATTCAGTTAGACGAAACAACTGATATTTCCAACATGGCACAGGGGTTACTTTATGTAAGATATGTTTATGAAGGAAGCATACATGAGGAATTGTTGTTTTGTTGCCCTTTGGAAGGGCACACAAGAGGACAAGATATATATCTTAAAGTCAATGAATTTTTCACAAATGAAGGTTTACAGTGGAAAAACTTCACTGGAGTCTGTACAGATGGTGCTGGAGCCACGATGGGTGAGAACGTTGGATTTGTAGCAAAAGTTAAAGCTGGTGGCAATGAACATAGCACTTTTACTCACTGCATGATCCATCTGGTGGCACTTGTAGCCAAAAAAATATCACCAGAGTTAGATGTTGTGTTTCAAGATACTATTAAAATCATTAACTTCATTAAAAGCCGTGCCCTTAACAGTCGTTTGTTTTCAAACCTTTGGAAACACATGGATTACAAAAGTTTATTACTACATGCAGAGGTAAGGTGGCTCTCAAGAGGGTGACATTTAAACAGATTATTGACACTGAAAGATGAAGTTGTTATATTTTTGACTGAGCAGAAATCTGATTTTGTTAATTTTTTTCATAATGACTTATGGTTTTCAAAACTGTGTTATTTGTCGGGTATTTCTGAAAAACGCAACAATTTAAACCTGTCACTTCAAGGAAAAAATTGTTAACATATTTATGTTAAAAGATAAAATTGAAAGTTTTACTAAAAAAGTTAACATATGGAAGAATAGGGTGGAAAAATGGTTCTTTAGAAATGTTTACAGCTACAAATGATTTTATAATTGAAAATAACCTTCCCAGAGACTTCATTGTAAGAGTTATAATTGATCATCTGAAGTACCTGGAAACATAGTTTCAGAAATATTTCCCTTCAAATTTTGATTCTAAAAAACTAAGTTGTATTCATAAATCAGACTCAATTGAAATAAAAAAAAGTCATTTTCCATTAAAAGTTCAAGAATTTTCTGAGTGATCAAGTGACACAGGTTTAAAACTTTAGTCACCTAAAAAATCATTAAATGAATTTTGACTTGGGATAAGGGCAGAATTGCCAATAATTTCTGAAATCATCCTAAACATACTTCTGCCATTTTGTACTATGTATTTATGCAAATCAGCACTCTCAGTATTGATGATTATAAAATTAAAATACTGATCAACTCCGAAAAACGTTGAAAGTGCTCTACATCCTGCAGTATCAAATATTCCACTAAGATTTAATTCTTTATGTAAAAATAAATGACCACATCCATCTCATTAGTATGCAAATTTGCTTTTATCTTTAATGATAAAATCATGTGTATACCAAAGAATCATTTTAAAATAAATTTATGATTTATTATCAGTAAATGTTTGATTTGTATACCTATTTTATATATCTATATACCCAGGGTCGCATAAAAATTTCTCAGGTGAAAATGGGTCACGAGTAGGTTAGGAGTGGAAAAAGTTTAAAAAGCCCTGATCTATGGTTGCTCAACCAAACAAGTCATACAGGAAAAATCAAACTAAACAGATAAAAAAGTGCATTGCCCAGACTATGGAATACAGTTGAATGGCCAGGGCTGTATTACATTTGGGAAGCTATCCTGTGCTTTCAACAATCCTCTGCTGTTCTCAACATAAAAACCCATCTTTAGAATAAAAATGTTCCCTCCAGTGATGCTGTGAGGTTAAAAATCCTGCATTACCAGTCACCTATTGACATAAGTGTGTGTATGGAGCATGGGCCAGGTGTACAAGTGTATTCAGGAAAGGGCCAATGGAAATGTTCTCCTAGGATGTGCTAGCACACCTAGCCCAAAGTCTATGCATATCTATACTAAAAAAGCAATGGAGAGACATGCCCTACAACCCATTTGCAATAATGACCTAAAGGCAAGTGGCATGAAGGAGACCATTAAGGAAATGTATAATCTCCAAGAAGGTAGAGTGGACGATTCGTTGAAGGCCAGCCTTGCAGTCAGGAACACAAGTCCTATATCCTTCATACCATGTTGTTTGTTATTATTTAGCCATTGTCATGTCTACCTCTTCATGACCCTGTGGACTATAGTATACCAATGCTGTCCACGGGGTTTTCTTGGCAAAGATACTCGAGTGGTTTGCCATTTCCTTCTCCAGCAGTTTAGAGCAAACAAAAGTTAGGTGACATGCCCAGGGTCACATAGCTAGTAAGTGTCTGAGGCTGGATTTGAACTCAGGTCTTCCTGACATGTGGCCCATTGTTCTTACCGAGCCTCCAGCTACCTCTGACATGTTGTTTAACTATAAGCCCCTGGCAACTCCCAGGCAACTCATCTTTTTTTTTTTTTTTTTTTTTTTGTCAAGGGTTCCTTTGGCAATTTGGTGAAGTTTGTAGACCTCTTCTCAGGATGTGGGTTGTTTTTTTTTTTTTTAACTCCTAACTGAATTTCATTGGGAGGTTGGTGAGAATTAAAATGTAATTTTTTCTCCCATTCAAGTTCATGGACCCAAGTAAAGAATCTTGCTCTAGAGGAAACTTCAAAAAAAGATGGTTGTTTTCCATGGAAGTGACATTGTATGAAGGCAAACAAAGCTCTTTGGAGAGCCCAATCCTGTTATTCCCAAAGATCACAGATTTAGAGTTGGAAGGAATCTTTAGGGTTATCTTGTTCAATCCCCTTATTTTATAATGGAAGCTCTAGAGGCCCAGAGAAGTGACCTAGTCTTAAGGTGGCAGATCCAGAATTCGAACCCAGGTCCTCTCTCAATCCAATCAGGACTCTTTCTACTTTACATATTGTCTTCCTCATGGTTTGGGTATAATAACAAAAACATGTGACTTCAGAGGGTCTTTAGAACTTCAAGTCACTGGAAGCTACTTGTTGCTAAATGTGTTCTATTGATTTTCACTTTTTGTTTGATACACTATTTCTTTGATATGTTGTGGCCAGTCTACTTATAAGGTCAAGTACTTACTGTGCCAAAGGTCAGGACAGTGTCCCCAAAATAAATCCCAATTAAGGCAATTTCCCTAAGCCAGAATCATAGAATTTCAGAGTTGGAAGGGACCTATAAGACACTTCATTTCAATTCAACCAGCATTTATTACAGGGCACCGATGTTCAAAGCATTGTGCTAAAACAAAACAGTTCCCGCTCTCAGGAAACTCACATTTTCCTGGGGTTAAGATGAGGTTTGTTTGAGTCAAACACTACAGGTAAGTAGTACAATTGCCAGCTGGCCAATGTTTGATCTTCCTGGGCAATAGTTTATTACAGAAGGAAGCACAAGGTACTCTTACTGATGTTGTGCTTTTACAAATATAGTTTGGGTTTTGATAATCATAGTGGATGGAAGTTAGCCTGAGGACAGATTTCACTGTAATAGTCAGGAGACCTGGGTTAACCTTGGGCCTCAATTATACTCTAAAAAACTCCAGAGTTTCTTACTAATTCTAGAAAATTAGTTTAGACCAGATATTCTGTAAGGCCTGTTTCAGTTATAAAAGCCTGTGATGCTATAATTTTAGTGAGGCTAAGCAGCTCATGAGCACAGTAACATGACCTGATGGGTAGGGGCTTTGGCGACTTCAACTAAAGAACTTTAACTGGACCCTAACACTCCATACATAAGGCAGAAAAGAAAGGTATGGGGGTAGTCAAGAATTAAGCTTTAGTCTAGAAGAACTAGCATGGGCTAGAAAGAGCAATATAAAGAAATACTCATAGATTAAAACAGTTTTCAATTCCCCAAATATGTCTTGTAGATACAGGGTCCAATCTCCCTTCCCTCCCTACCCCCTACAACATACATACTTTTCTCCCACCCCCCAACCCCCACCAAACCAACACTAACAGCTAACCAACTGTCATTAATGGGCAGGTAAGCCCCAGAGTCTCCAGAAGAACAGAACACTAGATTTGTAAACTGAGGAGCTATATTCAAATCCAGTCTGTGCCACCCCAGGTGACTTTGGGCAAGTCAGCTTCCTTATCCACTGAGTGACTGATAAGGTCCTTATAACTCTAAATCTGTGATCCCCTGCCCTTAGCTCCTACACTGAAAGTAGGTGATACAAGAGCTTGTGTAGAACATGTGACCCAAAGAGTATGGAGAACTCATGGAGAGAACATGAGGCAGACTCCAGGCTCTCTCATAGTAGTACCAAGAGACCCTGATGTTTAGGACTCCACTGACTCACATCTGTCCCTTCTCAAATACTGTCTATTGTTCAAGACCCAACAAAGGCATCCTCCTCTCTGAAATGCTCCGAAATGACCCCATTCCAGTGATCTCACCCTTCCTGTTTGTACTGCTCATATGACACTGTTAAGTACTGCCTCCTGACACTTCTCAAACTTGTTTCATTACATTTCTTCATTCTTTTTCTTCTCTCCCAATTAAACTGTACATGCCTTAAGGGTGAGGGCCATGTTATCCGCTTACTATTATCCTGATCAGAATATATGTTCAAAAAGATTTCCTTGATTTATTTTATTTAATTCTATTTTAAGAGAGATGCAGAATGATATAGCAGGCAAAGACAGGGCTTAAGAAGACCTAGCCTCAAGTCCTGCTTGCAACCCCAGGCAAACCATTTAACCTGGGACTATTAAGAACAACTTGTATACCCATAAGAATCTCTCTAAGATACTCCAAACGTATGGGCATCCAGCCTTCCTTCGAAGACCTCAAGGAAGAGCCCACTTCCTCCTAATGTAGACCGTTCCACTTTTGGTCAGTTAGGAAGTTACCTGCTTTTCTGAAACCTCTACCCCTTGCTTACTGTTGTGCCTTCTGGACCAAGCAGAATAAGTCTCACTTTGCTTCTACATAACAGTACTTTAAGACACCTATCAAAGAAAGGGAAGGGAATAAACAATTATATGGTGCCTACTATGTGCCATACATTACTAAACTTTACTATTACCTCATTTGATCATTACAAGGTTCCTTAAAGCAACCCTGTGAGGTAGATACTGTTATCTCCATTTTACAGTGAGAAAACTGAAGGAAACAGAAGCTGTGACTTGCCCAGCAGCAAGAAGCTAAGTGTCTAGCTAAGTGTCTGAGACCGGTTTTGAACTCAGTTCTTCCTTACTTCAGGTCCAGGGCTTTATCCACTGTGCAGCCTACAATTATGTCCTCCCTGAGTCTTATCTTTTCCTGGCTGTCCCTCAATTCTTTCAACTTTGCTTGTATGGCATGCTCTTTTTATTACAGTCTCATGCTCCCTCACCATCCTGCTTACCTTACCCTCTTAGGCATGTTTTCCAGCTCACCAGTCCTTCCTAAAATGGGACACCTGAGTCTAACTCCATTATGAGCAGAGGGACCTATCTTTTCCCTAGCCTTGTGAGCCTGGGCACATCATTTCTCAATGCTCTATCCAGGCAATTCTCCAAGACTGTAAGTTGCAGAGAAGATACTACCTTACACTGGGAAAGAGAACCAAACTTGTATCTAGGGAGTTCCCTACAACAACGAAATCCCAGGCCCCGCTCCTAAGCCTTATCCCTTAAACAGATTCATTCGGCTTGGGGTCCACTAAAACCCCGAGATCTTTTTTCCCCATACAATTTACCCCATGGTGCCAGCCTGGTCATTGTGTACCTGGTTTGTTATTCTAATACCAGTCCGTCAAGGCAAGGTCCGTTTCAGTTTTGTCTTCGTATCCCTATAATCTACAGTGCCTAGGTGCAAAGGAGGGGCTTGTTTGATGAACTGAACTGAATCACAGCAACAATGTGTTCCTTAGAGTGACTGACACTATTCCATCCCCACCCCTCACCCCCACCCCATACGAAAGGGTTTACATAATTAGGAGAGAAAAGACTGGCCCCAAGTTCCCCCCTAAGCCCACCAACCCACAGCGCCGCAGCTGCGGCGCGTGCGGCAGCCAAGGCAGGAGGAGGAGCGCAGTGTCACGCCCAGAGAAGGCCATGTGATAACCAGCTGGGAGGGAGGGGGTGTGGAGCCTAGGAGTGGTCGAGTGGGCGGAACGCAGGACTCAGGAATCCTGGCTCCCCGCCGGACGGCGATTCCAGCTGCACCCGCGATGCTTTCAGCCCGCGGGAGAGCCGATCCCCGCGTTCGAGCGGCGGCTCGGCCTGGCAGGTGACGGGTGGACGGGCTGCGGGGGAGGGATCGGGGGTGGTAAGAAGTCGCAGCGGCCGTCCCCCACCCTCTCTCCGCCCCGCGTCTCTTTTCCTCTCCGGCCGGAGGTTCTCCGAGCCGCGGTCTGGCCCGTCTCCAGGTCAACGGCTCCCCGACGCAGCAGGCCCGTCGGGCCCGGCCGTTCGGCACCAGGAACCGCTTCGGGGGGGAAGCGGCCGCCGCCCCCGCCACTTCCTCCAGGGCCCGGCGAGGAGAGCCGCCGTTTCCGCCGCGGCCGGATCAGGAGCCCAGAACGAAGGGTGAGGTGAGCCGGGGGCACGGTGGCAACGGCTGCGGTGGGACCGAGCGGCCGCCGCTGCCCTAGGAAGAAGAGGTGGAGGTGGCGGTGGCGGTGGCGGAGGCGGAGTAGGAGGAGGAGGAGGAGGAGGAGGAGGAAGAAGAAGAAAGCAGGCCATCCTCGCCCTCGCCGGCTCCACCTACCTCTCCTCTGATTGGCTGAGGCCCTCGCTAATGAGCGCCTCTCGTCTGGGATTGGTTGGAGGGTGCTGCCTATCACCCTTCCCCGGGGGGGGGGGAGCCCGGGTTGCTGAGGGACGCTCCGCTGCGGGCTCGATTTGGGGAGGGGTTGGGGGCCCTGGGGCCGACCGACCCACCTCTTCTTTTAGGCGGCTGCCCCTGCCCCTGCCCCGGAGGGGACCAGTAGCAGACCAAGGTGGGCTTGGCAAGGAGTGGAAAGAGGATCTGGAGCTTATGGGGCGAAACTTGAACTACGGCCATAGTAACTGAGTGGGGGTTAATGTATAAGGAAGAAGGTTTAGAGGCAAGTCCAACCCCGTGCGATAGAAAGGCCTAGATTTCTCTTGTTAGATGGAAGGAACGCCATACCGAATTTTCGTAACTTGATTTTTGGGGGAGTTTCATTTTCTAGGCCTGTTATCTGTCAAAACCCACGTGGAGAATTTGTAGTCTATTGGGGGCAGCAGTGATAGAATACCAGGAAGTATCCAAGCTTCAAAGAGGCAACCTAATTTGAATAGTTAACCCTTGCTTCTGAAGGGTAGCTCCCAGGGAAAAAAAGTAATTAAAGGATAATAGCAGTTCATGCCTTTTTTTTTTAAATTGGAAAGAAGTTAAACTATGTTTAAATCTTATTAAATGACGACTCATACACGAAAATGTCTTTGGAGTATTCAAATTATTACTATCAGTAATAATTTTAAAATAGCTTGATCCCAGAAATAATTTAGTTTTTTTCAGTTATTTAGAAGAAAGTAATATTCAAGGCTCTGTGTTCCTTGTTTAGTGGTAGGTTATGTCCTGATTTGAAAAATTAAAAAATGGAAAGATAGCTTTTACAGCTGTTAACTTCCATGTTAGCTGCTTGCCCCATTTCATATCTTAGTTCCTTTTTATGCTTTTAAAGTTAAGCGGCATGAGATTTTTTATAAGTATTAGAATATATAATATCATTTGAACATTTCCAGCCTGTTCTTTCAGGCACTGCCTGAAATGTGTGGTGAGTAGTCATTTACTTAAGAAATTCCCATTATATCATGTGGTGAGGAAACTACATTGGACTGGAAATCAAAAGACCTGGGTCTTTTGGTTTTGAAACTATCGCCCTGGGCAAGCTACTTGATCTCTGGCCTCAGTTTTCTCTTCTCTTAAATGAGTAGTGAGAAGTAAGATTTCTTACAGCTGAACCAAATATTCTGTGATGATTAGGCACTTCAAGTCCAAGCTGGAAACCCAGTAGCTGGTATTATATATGTAGTCTAAGAGCTATATTATATGTACCCGTGCCTGACCTTACCAAGGAATAGAGGTTATTTCCTGTACAAAGTACCCAGTTCTTACTCTTAAAATAGCTTCTCAGGGTGCAAGGGTTAAGACTTGCTACACTGATCAGATATCTAGGACTGAGTGCTCTTTGTGGACGGTGGAAGGAACTTGTTGCCAAAGGAATGGAGAAGTGCAGCTAAGAATGCATATTTGTTACTTTATGTGGGACTCAATTACCATGTTGGGAGTGTTTGACTAGTAATAATATGTAACAGTACCTAGCAATATATGATGCTCTTAAAGTTTTTCAAGCCACATTGACAGCTCTTATATGTGGACTTAAGGAAGTTTTTTTTTTAAATTACTATATTTTTATAGGAGATGATGTAGACTAAATTACCAGAATTTAATACAGTGTTCTATTCTTCCCAGCCTTTAATCACTTCCTAGAAGTAAACAAAGTAGATTAATACTTTCAGATCATCCTGGAACCGTTAAATGTAAATGCAATCATCTTCTTTCTCTCCTTGTTTCAATCTACACTTTACACTACTGCTTATACAGTCTTCCTAATGCATTCATCTGCTCCAAAATGTTTAATGGCTCTTTATTGCCTGCTGAATATCCTGGCAGTCAAGGCCTTCCACTATTGGGAACTAACTTACCTTTCTCCTCTTATCTCTTGATATTCTTCTTCATGTATTCTCATGTTTAACCAAACTGCAATGTAATGTCACTCATTCTTGACTTGCTTTTTTTGTCTTTTGCCTTTGTCCACCCTGTTCCTTTGCTTTCATCCTCTTCCTCCAGTTTTTGCCTGTTGAAATTCTTTGCTTCCTTCAAGATCCAACTTTGGTGATATTCAGTTTAGCCTTCTTACTTCTCTGTCTCCCAACTCCCAAATTGGAAGTGACCTATTCTAAAATTTCTTGTAGTATTTTGTCTGTACATCTCCACACTTACCACATTATGCCTTATATTATAGTTATATTTATACACACCTTATTACCCACATTTGATTACAAGCTCCTTGAAGGCCAAGGACTCTGTTTCATTTAATCTTTGTATCCCTAGCACCTTGTTAATAGGACTTAATAAATGTTTGTAGAATTGAATGCAACAGGATTACAGTAGTTTACTTTAATTAAACAGACATTTTCCTTAAAATAGAAATTTTTTAAAATATGTAAAACAAAAAAATTCCCATTGACTTGAATCATAATTGGCTTCAGGGGAGAAACAAATGTGGCTATAAGCCAGAAATTTTTCTTGCTGCCTAATCAAAATATCCTCTCATTGACAGGTTTCAGCAAGGTTCACCACAAGTCAGACATTAGGAAAATGTCCATTGAGTAGGGAAACGTTGGGGTTTAAGATGAAGAGCCATCAGATACTGTAACTTAATGCCTTAGACTGCAGCCATCTGTGTGGAAGTAGCAGTTTCCTATGAGATTTCTTCATATTGTCATTGTACAGGTAGCAGATCATTTTTTTTTTTTATTTGGGGAAATAACCTCTCCAGGCAGAGTGGGTAGGATATAGTTGACAGAATTATAGCAAAGTCTGGTATAGGAAATATTTTACATTTTGGGACTTTGCTTTTTGAAATCTACTTGAATATACTGTTTGATAATCTACAGGTGTCCCTTTGAATAACATGAGAATTACCTGGGTGATTCAAGTAAATGAAAATTCACTTTAACTAGAAATATACTGAAAATTGAGTTACAAGTAGGATGTTTTGACAGTTATCTAGATAACTGTTTCAGTTTGTCACTTTGACATAACTTTGGTATGAGAATTGTACAGTGCAAATCTAAACTGAGGGCTTAACTGTCTTTTAGCTTTTCCTAATTTGGTATACTAATTGGATTTTTTAAGCTCTTAGATTCAATTAAATTACTTAGTAATAGTAACTCAAATTAATATAGTACTCTGAGATTTACAAAGTATTTTCCTGATAATCCTGTGAGGTAGGTAATACAAGTATTATTAGCTCCATTTACAGATGGGGAAACTAAAGCTGAGATTGTAATTTATTGCTAGTAAATATTGGAGCTAAGACTCAAATGTTTAAACTGTCTTGCAACAGTTTTTTGGCATGTAAAGTCAGGAAATGCACATCAAGAGATCTAGTTGTTTGTTCCTTAAAATTTTTTTAAATATACTTCATTCAGCAAGTCTTTTCTGGTAAAGACTCTGCCTTGGGTGAGATACAAAGTTTACATGAGATGAGTCCCCTATAAGTTCAGGGAGCTTATAGTCTAATGGGAGATAATGCATAATATTGCAATTAATGTATGTAATATTGGCACAACACTTGGCACATAATGTTTAATTTGCTTCATGTATCTTTCTATTTAAGTATATTGAAGAGTTGCAAAACAAAGCACTATCTGAGTTCATAGGTGAAAACTATTTCTGACTGGAAGGGTATGAATTGGGGAAGGCTTTGTGGAGGAGATGGTATCTGAAGTGGCTTGAAAGGGTTAATAGACATTCAGCAAGCTTAGAGAATGAGGGAGAAGACACTGCAAGTATAGGGAACAGCCTGAGCAGAGGTATTAGGGAAGTTTGAAGGCCCAGGACATACAGGGTTTAGGAGCAGAAAGTATTTTTGTTTGGTTGGAGTGTAGAGTGAATGAAGGGAAGTAATGTGAGATGAGATTTGGAAAGGTTTTGTGGTATAATATTTAGTAAGTTGTATGCCAGTCAGAGGAGTATAAAGAATGGACTGAACAGGAAGAGATTAAAGATAGAAAACATGTTGGGAAGCTAATATAATAACCCAAGCAGATAGTAATAAAGGCCTGTGTTGGGGTCCTTGAATATATATGTATATAGAAGAAGGGATGGATATGGAAGATACCCTAGACATAAAATTGACGGAACTGGTAATGAGGGAGAAGAATGAAATATATTGTCAAAACAGTGACATATGTATATATACACATACACACACATACATACACATATAAATAGTGAAGTCAAAGGGAGGAACAGATTTAGGAAAAAGTATAATAAGCTTGGACTGAGTAGTAAAGGATAAGAAAGATGAGGTGATAACTAATGGTTTCAAGGGGTAAAAGCTTTTATGTACTTTTAAGAATTGGGAAGATCTGAGCATTTTTTTTTATTTTTGTTTTTTGTTTGTTTTTTTAGCAGATGAGAAGAAGCCAGTGATGAAAGAAAGATTGAAGGCTCATAAAGGGGAAGGGGGGAATGGATACAGGAAAAAGAACCTGGAGAAGTGGGGAGGGAATAGAATCAAAGGGGTTGATAGAGAGATTAGTCTTAGGGAGGAGAAGTAAAGATACCTTGTCTTCTGCTGCCAGAGGGAAAGAGGAAAGGGGGCTGATGCCAAGGTATAAGAATGAAATGGGGGCGGGGAGGGGTGAAGAGTTTCTAGTCGTTTGGCTTTAATATCTTCCCAGGGAAGTGAATAGCTGTGTCATCTGTTGTCAGGGTGGAGGGTGGTAGTGTGGTTGGGTGCAAAAGGAGAGGAAAACAAGGTTTTCTAGTCCAACTTAAATGAAAAATGAAGCAACCTGTAACCTATGATTAACACATTGAATTTTTTTTTGTGTATCGGTTGAACAGGAAGCCAGGATATCACAGCATGGATCAGTCTAGGTCTAGTTCAGGTGGAGGTAGTGAACAGGCCTCTTCTCAAGACCACCGTCACAGTGAAGATGAGCGAAGATGGCAGCAAGAGCGCCTCAGCAGGGAAGAGGCCTATTACCAGTTCATTAATGAACTCAATGATGAAGATTATAGGTTAATGAGAGACCACAATCTCCTAGGCACCCCTGGTAAGAGATGTATAGCAGGAGAGAAATATTTTGGCATTTAAGGAGACAATTTAGAAGCATAGCAAGTGAGGAGTTCTGTTCAGAGAATCAGTGTACTGATTTCTACCTTAAAGTTAACAAGTAAAAAAAACAAACAAACCTGGAATATTCCTTTATGTTGGTGTAGGATAGAAAGCAGGAAATAATTCTGCTACACAAGCAACTTAACTAACTAAATAGGTTGATGATCTATAAGGACATCTGTCCCGTAAGATGTTCTAGAGAGAGGTGGAGACATATATTTATATGTACACACACACGCACACATTTAAGCAAAATTTTCATGAATAAAATTACAGACATTATTCAAAATAAGAGTCTACATATCTTTAGGCATAACTACTTAATCATTTGATTTACTATGTCTCATAAGAAGCCAGTGTACTCTGTAGATCTAATTTGATCATTGAATTATATATGATAAGATTTATTAAATGAAGTTCAAGAAGATTTTGGGAATAAATAATAGTTGACATTTCCAGAAGCATTCCTTCCTTGATTTCTGCATCAAGTTGAGGAAATACAAAGAATTGTAGTCCAAAGTTTATCAGTGTAGGGCAGCTTGCCAGGAGATCAAGGGATAAATTTAATTTAAATAAAAACATTATTCAAAAAAAAGAACTATTTGGATTTTCTGGTGATTATGTAGAATGTGCTACTAGAAGTTAAAGATTCCTAGTTATTTACTCTTTGGGCCCAACATTTATATGTCTTTCACTTTCCTTTAGCATCTCCAAAACAATGAAAATTTAAATTCATTCTGTTATAGTATGTTAAAGATTTGTTCTACATCTCATATGTTCCCCTATAAAACTGAGCAATTAAAGGCTGACCTCAAAGTTTCCATTTTCTAATTGCTTTTAGGAGAAATAACATCAGAAGAGCTACAGCAGCGATTAGATGGAGCCAAGGAGCATCTAGCATCCCAGCCTGACTTGGAGAATAGACAAACTGAGGGAGGAACTTTGGGAGGTACTGTGAGCACTTTTTCTCTGCCTCCACAAGTAATAGACTTTATCTGAGCATATATGACAGTGAAATATATTAATTGTTGGACAGTCTAGTCTTACATATTTAATTTTTGATTTGATACAAAATTAGATTCATTATTAAGTCTAGCTTCACTCTAAGAATGTGCAACTTGCTTACCAAAAAGATACAACTAAACTTAACTTCTAATTGTTTATCAGTAGAGAATGGAATGACTTAATGTCTAGATGCTTGATGAAATTTCCATATATGAACATACACATGGACACATCTCTCTCTTATTACTTCTCCTTATAAGCTTTACTCTTAGACTTCTTGCCTTAGTAATGAAGTAATAAAAATATCCTAGAATTATTATGAACTGCAAAAATTGTGGAAGAGGAATAGATGTTAACTATATATGATAAAGTTATTTTTTTTTAACTGTTCTCCTTGATACCATTTTACATGTTTGGAAAACACAATAAAGGACATCTGGTTAGACATGCTGTGCCTCCAGTCATACCATGTGTTTGAGTTATCAAATAAGGAAGTGATTTTAAATCACCAGTGTTTGTTTTAAATGCCTTTTTATTGATGAACTTTCCAAAGCTCATTGGAAAAAAAAAAAATTTAACCCATTTGCTTCCTCATACTCACATCTGTGTTAAGTTTAATTATATTTTTACATATAATAAAAAGAAACAGCTTTTAAAAGACCATGAAACTAGTGATTTGATTACATTTTAATGGAAGAGAATTCATCATACAACTACATGTTGTGATCTCATAGAGACCTTCTTCGAAGGTTATCTCATCCAGAAACCTTCATTTTAAATATGAAAACCCTTATGTTACTGATGATAAGGTATTTCATCACCTTATCACCCATTCTTTAATTATGAGTAAATACACTAATACTAGGTAGATACAATGAAGATCTGTATTTCTATCCATTTAAAAATTTACCCTCATTATCTAATTAGCAGTTTTACCCTCTAAAATAATCTTCTTTAACAAGACAGGTCATGGTCATATGGTGAAATTATAGTCATCTCACCAATTTTTAATAGTTATTAGTTAATGGAAGAATTTTGTGGGTTGAATGATATTTTGTAACTTGATTTGTTAAAGCTATGGTTTTCTAAAATACCCACTTATAGTGTGACTTTTTACTCTTTTAGAATTTACTAATTTAGTAGTTAAGAGAAAATATTAAGAACTGTACAGTCAGGCAATACACAGCTCTCACAGCATTTATTTGTTCAGTGCATCAGTGTTAGGTGATAAGTTCTTTACAGGCAGTTGTCTTCAAAACTCCTTTCCTGAGCTCCAAACTTTGTGGAAGTTCCTGAATAATAAGGTACAGTTTTTTATTTGGCTCTAGAGGTTGATGGTTCTGATTTCTTAGCTTTGGCCAAAATAATTTTATATACATTGTTTCTCCCTGCAGTGAGGGTAAGATAATCTTAAAAGCCTTTCATTTTAAAATATAATAATGGTTCCTATTTACTAAGTGCTTTGTGGTTATAAAACATTAATTCATAAAGTTTTAATAGATCACATGAGGTAGGAGGGATCTCAGAGATCATCTTCTACTCTCCTCATTGTACAGATGAGGTAACTTGAGATTCAGAGATGAAAGGACTTGCCTAAGGTCACACAAGCTAGTAAGGTTGTGACAGTACTTGAATTCAGGTCTTCCTGCAGCTAATCCAAAGCTCTTTCCACTGCATCATGGTGCCTTTTGTTAGTATTTTATACTTGTCCTGATGTTTGTTCCAATGAGGATTTATCTGCTGTGATCATTTAGACATGATTTTAAGTTTTGTGATGTTATGGTAGTCCTAAAACTTTCAAATGTAGTCAAACTTATTCTGTTAATTTTACTGACTTTGTTGCTTTTCTTAAGCTTCCTATGGAAAAGTGTCTATATAAATCAATTTAAAAATTTATCTAAATCCATTTTTTTCCACGTTTCCTAGATGCAGAGATCCCCAGGGACAGTTCAAATGGAGACTCCCTGTTAGAATGGCTAAACACTTTCCGTCGGACAGGCAATGCAACTAGAAGTGGGCAGAGTGGGAACCAAACTTGGAGAGCTGTGAGTCGAACAAATCCGAATAGTGGAGAATTTCGGTTTAGTCTGGAAATTAATATAAATCATGAAAACAATGGATTTGAAGCTCCTAATGATGAATATGCAAGTGTTTCTCATTCTCATGCCAGCAGAAATCATCCTGGAAATGGACACCAAAGAGCAGTCAGTCCCGTGGCCAGGAGAACAAGGAGCCAGACCTCAGTGACTCTGAATGGTGACAGTCTCAGGGTCCCAAGGACTAGAATGGCAAGAAGTTCAAGGAGGCAGAATTCAGTAGAAATGTCTTTTTCTATGTTGGGAAGGGTGAGGAGCAGAAATAGGGGATCAGTAAGCGTTGCTAGAACAAATTCTGTAAATGATAACCTTCTGAGTAGTCATGCAAACCCCCATGGCACTAGTGAAGATAACATTAGAGAAGGGCGAGGTGCATCTTCACAGCTCCAGGGAAACAGGGGTAGAACTCCTGTTCCCACCAGGAGTGCAAGCCAAAGACAAGAACCAGCAAACTTAGAGTCTGCTGTAAATAGTCGAAGCCGGTCACCAGTTCAAAGACAGAGTGATACTATGGATTCTGAAGAACATAATTCACATAGGGAAAATAGACCTTCACAACAAACCTTTAGAAGGTCAGTTAGGAGGAGACATGTAGCTCATGTTTACTTAGAACCAGCTGGGGAACATAGAGGTACTGCCCACACCCCACTGTCCAATTCAGGACTACTGTCAAGAATTACAGTGGAAGGGGAAGAATCCATCAGGCCCACAGCTGCTGTGAGGCGACATCCAACTATCACACTAGACCTTCAGGTTCGAAGGATTCGTCCTGGAGAAAATAGAGATCGGGATAGTATTGCAAATAGAACTCGCTCTAGAGTAGGGTTGGCAGAAAACACAGTCACCTTTGAGAGCAATAGTGGAGGCTTTCGTCGAACCATTTCTCGCTCAGAACGTGCTGGCATTCGAACTTATGTCAGTACCATCAGGATTCCGCTCCGTAGGATTTCAGAGAATGGACTGGGTGAGCCATCATCAGTGGCTTTACGGTCAATTTTAAGGCAAATCATGACTGGATTTGGGGAACTGAGTTCTCTAATGGAAACTGAATCTGAGTCTGAATTTCAGAGGAGCAGGCAACATTTAAGAGAGATGCATTCAGAGGTGAGTAACTCACATGCAGTTGATGGCAGTCAACAAAATGAAGTCTCTTTTCAAGAGAGGCAGGCCCAAGAAGGCAGCATCGAAATGAGTGGTGAAAATGAGAGGACCCAATCTAATAACCGCAACAGTGAAAATAGAGAGAACCGGCAATCTCAAGATGCAAACAATTTAGTTGAAAGTGGGACACTACCTATTCTTCGTCTTGCCCATTTCTTTTTATTAAATGAGGAGGATGATGAGGAGCACTTTAGAGGCTTAACCAAAGAGCAGATTGACAATCTTTCTACACGGAACTTTGGAGATACTGAGAGTGAACTAAGTAAAACCTGTAGTGTTTGTATCAATGAATATGTAACAGGAAACAAGCTCAGGCAGTTACCTTGCATGCATGAGTTTCATATTCATTGTATTGATCGCTGGCTATCTGAGAACTGTACTTGTCCTATTTGTCGGCAGCCTGTTTTAGGATCCAGTATAGCAGACAATGGATAAAATAATAGAGCTTGCTTTAATAATTATATTTTATCATAGCTTAGTATGTGTTTAAGCATTCATTTTTTAGCCTATTTGTGATGAGCCAACTGGGATAAATAATAATTTAGATAATGGTTTGGGCTATTTTCTTGAAAAAAATAAAACAAAAAAAACTTGTTTGAAGAGGTAGGATATTTGCATAAATTTTAAAATGCAAATGATAAATTACTTTACAAAGTTTAGAACAATTAATATTGCTAGAACCAAATAATCTTTAATATGTTTTTATTTTGTTATGCTAAGCACTTTCATATATGTAGAATACAGTAGGATAAAATCAATTTGCTTATTGTTAACAGTGCAACAGACTTTATTTAGGATTCAAATTTTCACAGACTCAGTACTGTGTCAAGAAATTGGTGTCTAAATAGTCACTCATTAGCTTTTTGTTCTAAGAACAATTTCTTTTCATAAAAGAATCTTTTGCTGGATGTTTGCTAAAAGTATTTAAGTTACTTGAAATGTTCAATTTAATATGCAGTATACTATACAGACATATATATCTATTTTTAAGATTGAAATGTCCAGTCTGAAAACTACCAGTTTGGTTCTATTTAAACGTTTTTGAAATTTTTGCATGTGGTTTTACACAATGCTTAATGTTGATAAGTTCATCTTGGAAAGTGGGTGGATTAAGGGGACATTAAAATATATATACAGTTCAGTATGATGTTTTCTGACAATCTGACTCAGTAGGCAGCAAGCAATCTATTATAGTAAACAAGTATTTCTTTATAGTATGTTTGAACCTGAAATAGATATGAATTCAGAAATGGAACATGAAAATTTTAGGATATCTAGATTACTTTAACTTCGGTTCAACTTGTTTTTTACTTTATTATTTTGAACACGCAAAGACTGCTCTTGGATTATAAAATAACTATACAATATGCACGGTTTCTCAAACTTATATAAAAAAAGTTTTTTGGAAAGGATACCATTTCTGTACTGAATAAAATGTATAGATAATATAGTGAGTTCTCTTTGAGGCATAATAAAATAACTATGATAAAGAAAATGTAGACTTTATATGAACACCAAAAGTCATGTATTAAAAAAAACCCTTTCTATTTCTACAATAAACATTAATGCAAAGGCTGTGTGTAATATTTTTGTAATCATACAATCTCAAGAGTTGGAAGGAGTCTTGGGGGCCCATATAACTCATACTTGGACAAGAATTTTTTCTGTGATATCTCTTGAAAGCAATTGTTCAGTAACCTATGTGACCCCAGACAAATCAACTCTTTTGGGGCTCATTTTCTTCATCTGTAAAATAAAAGGTTGAACTAGATGACCTTTAAGAGTCCCAAAGCTCAGTATATGACAAATGACAATTGTAAGTTATTAACTCAGTAGCTTATTATTAGGCTCAAGTGAGATAAAGTATAAAAGCACTCTCCTTAAGGTATTCACCATCCTGGTAGTATATTTAAGAAAATAGGAGGAATAATGATTTTAGACCTGGAAGAGACCTAAAGATTATTTAATTCAACCTACTCATTTTGTAAATGAGGGAACTGAATTCTAGAAGTAACTTAGCTAGAACTGCACCACCCAGGTTTCTTGACTTTTAGTTTTTACCATGCTGAATGCCTACCATGTGCAAGATAATGTAGTAAGTGTATGAGGTAGATACAAAGGAGCAAAAGATATGGTCCTTTCCTCCAGGAGCCTGCTGTGTATAATTGACCTTTAAGCAGTTTGGATATTAAGTGTGATAGCAAGTTGAGTGGAGTGAGAAATGAATTTTAGCTGAGTTGTTTGGAGAAAGCTTCATGGGGGAGATATAATTTAAATTGGGCCTTGACCCCTAAACTGGGTGGAATTTTGCTCTGTTGAGCCAAATGGGTGAAAAGGGTAGCACGAGTTTAGAATGGCAGGAGCAAATGTGTAGAGCATGGGAAATGCAGGTGTGTTTAGAGGCAAGTAGACCACTTTGATTGGAGTAGGATTTGTATAAGGGAACATAGAAGATAAGATTGAAGAGGAAAGTTGGGGTGATACTCTGGAATCTAGATTTGGCCCTGTCAACAAAGGGGAACTCCAGTAGATTTTTGAACAAGACAGTGACGTGATGAAAGTGTATTTTAGGAAAATTAATATGACTTTGGTGTATAAGGCATATTAGTGGCAATAAAAAAATAGAGTCAGGGAAAGCAACTAGGAAACTTGTGGAATTATCCAGGCGTGAGATAATAAGAAATGGAACTAAAATAGTGGCAGCAGGAACTGAACAAAGGGACAGTTAATGAGAGATTGGGAATGAAGATTAGATACTAGTTAGCAACTGCCTGAATATGGAGATCCAGAGAAATGGAGAATTTCAAAATAATTCCAAAATTCTGACCCTGGAAGACTAGAAAAATGACACCACAGTTACTAGAAGTAGGTAAGTCAAGAGGAAGAAATGGTTTGGAGCAAGGAAAATGGTGCATGCATCCAGCCTTAGATATATTGTGTTTGAGGTGCCAATCAGGCTGAAGGTAGAGGAAGAAGCCAGGGCTGGAGATTTAAATATGAGATATGAGGTAGAGATGATAGTTGGAGCGATAGAAATGAGTGAGATTTTTTGATACAAAGGCTATGTGCAGGAAATGCAAAGGGTTGAGGACAAAACCTTAGGGGGCAGGAGGAAGGACCATCCACAGAAGTCATCCTGTATGAAAAAAAAAATCTAAGAATAAAAAGCAACATTGGCAGGCACAAAACAAAACATCCACTTTGACTCCAATTCAGAATTCATTCTAATTCAAAAAAGATGGTGAAAGTTTTCTTTGCCCAGCAAATCCTTGTTAATACAAATTAATAGATTTCACAAAGAATGTTTAAAATATTAAAAGAATTAAACTGTTTTCAAGCTCTTTTAATATGCAATTCTTATATAACTAGTTGAAATACTAATCACAGAAATGTCATTTAAAAACAAATGAACAAACAAACCTTTACTTAAAATAGGCCCTTCCAAAGACCTCACTAAGGTCTATTGCGAATGAATGAATACTTTGTTAGCTGCATACTGGCCTTCAGGAGCTTATAGCAAGTACTTTATAAATTAGGGCTGTGGCCATAACAGAAAATTAAAAAATGATACACTCAATACCGTGGAAAAAATTACTGAAATAAAATTTATTGGGGTGAAATTTGAATGCTGATCCTGGTCTCCAGTGGGCAAGGACATGATGGCAGAGGGGCCCCAGACCCCAGTTGAGGGTATGTTCCATACATACATGTAACCCTACTTCTGCCCAAGCCTAGGGTACTTTTCTTGAGGAACATCCCTGTGATGCTGAACGCTTCTCAATGGCTTCAAGACCTCTGGTCTAATGATGCGTCACACCTACATAAAAGGCAGAAGAGCGTGAGAGAGGCCATGGAGACAACAAATGTGAACTTTTAATTCATGGTCTGGAGAACTCCCTGAAGTTATAGACATGTAAGGAAAGTCCCTAACATGTCCCTTAATTCTCAGCACCTACAAGTTTAGGGACTGCTAAAAGCAGACTCTCCTCCAGAGAGATTGTTCTCTTCTTGGTTGAGCGGACATGTTATCTCCTCCCTAGTCAAAAAACTCATTCACTCTGGCGTATTTCATTGTTTACCTTAAGTCTGTTTAACTTCTCTGATTTCTTTTTATTGTTTACTTTGATAAAGAGGTTTACTAGCTATTCACTTCCTGTCATTTGTGTAACCAGAGTTGGTGGGAGGGAACCAAGTTGGCAAGACAAATTTAACTGTTACTTTCCCCTTGAGAGCCATCAGGGAAAGTGGCTTTTATTCTGAACCCTTTATCATATCTGACCTAGACTACGGATATTTGATGTATGACAGATAGATACAATTCTACTTAGACAGCTTTCTTGGAGATAGGAGAGTAGAAGAGAGATCACCCAACACTGGTAGTCTGGGATCCTGTCTACCCCTTCTCTCTCCCCTTGGCCCACTTCCTGCTCTCCCCAAAGAGGGAAATTGGTGGTCTCCCTTGGAGATGGGGGTGGGCCAGATATCTGATCTGAAACCTATCCATGCTACTTGTGGCCTACCACATATGTAATGTGGGGAGGAGGAGTGTAGGATAAAGGATAGAGACTGGACTTACGATTTCATTATGCACAGAATTTCCTGGTGAGGAAATTCCCTTTCCCAATGAAGCCTGGTGCATTGGCACATTCTTTTCAACTTAGAGTCTTAGAGAGATGCCTAGGACACTAAGACATTACGTGACTTACCCAGGTTCCCATTTTGATTTAGGAGTAGTACTTGAAACTAGGTCTTCCTATCTCTAAGACCAGCTCTTTATCCACTATGACATATTCTGTGTGTGTATAGAAATACATACATACATACATATCATAAGATCATGATATCATAGATTTAGAACTAGAAGGGACCTTGAAGGACAAATAGTCCAACTCTTTTATTTTGTGTATGTGAAAACTGAGACTCAGAGAGATCAAGTGATTTCCCCAGGGACTTCTGACTCTAATAGAAATGGATCCCTGTGGGTCACATCATGACTTTGAAAACCACAAATTGACATTTTTGTTTTATTGTTTTTTAATTTATTTTGTTGAACATTTCCCAATTACATTTTAATATGGTTTTGGCAGTACTCAATAATATTGGGGGCTTGCTTACTTGATTCCTCCAAGCTATGAATTTGATACCTCTGCTCTGAAGTCAGTGTTCCCTGAGTTCAAATCTAGTCTCAGATACTTATTACCTGTGTGACCCTGGGCAAGTCACTTAACCCCAATCGCCTCCAAAAAAAAAAAAAAAGCGAGTGTTCTTTTTACTGATGTCTATGTGTGTAAAAACAAAAACAAAAAAAATCTTGTATTACAATGGAGATATATGGATTTGTATATATTTTTTGTATATACATTTTGTTGTCTGTATGATTTTATTTACATATACCTCCCTTGCAAGTCAGGACTTTTTCTGACTAAAATATTAAAATGTATAGGCATACAAAACATAATTTTTTTTTACTAATTTTACTAATTTTTCTTTCTGTTTTTATGAATCTCACTTTTGGTTTATGTACCACATCTGTACTTTTATCCAGCTTATCCCCTTTGGACTTTTTGTCTCATTCTGGTCACGTCACTTTCTTCTATTATGAGTGGCTTGTCTTTGGCTTTCTTTCTCACTAGTCCTAGCCCCTCAGTCCTCCATTGCTAAGGCACATTTTCTCCCTCAGAGATCCAGAAGTTAGCCATCCTCAAGTTGAGGTGTACAAGGGGCTGGCCGTTTCACTAATTCCAATTAGTTTTCTAGTCTCTATTCCACTGGGCATGGAAAAATCTTTCCTTCTAGCTGACTTTGTGCTCATAGGTCTATGTTCTTCACCCCATCTCTTCCCTTTTCCTTCTTATGGTTGTTGCTCAGTCATTCTGGTTACATCTGACTCTTTGTGATTCCTTTTGGTGTTTTCTTGTCAAAGATACTGGAGTGGTTTGCCATTTCCTTCTTCAGCTCATTTTGCAGATGAGAAAACTGAGGCAAAGAAGATCTGCCCAGGGTTACACAGCTAGTAAGTGTCTGAGGCCAGATTTGAACTCACAAAGATGAGTCTTCCTAACTCTAGGCCTGGCATTCTATCCACTGTGCCACCTAGATGCCCATTTTTATGGTTGAGTAGACTCAATATCTTCTTCTTCTTAAGGAAAGCCTGATGAGTCACTGCAGTTTCAGAACCAGGCAGGATTTTCTTTCTGCCCCCTGCCCCTCTCCTCCTTCTCCCCAGCCCTCAGCCCTGCCGTGATCAGACCACGATGCTCAATCCTATGAACTTGTTTGTCGCACTACCTTTAGTATAGCCTGGGTGTTAGGGCAGTGAGTTCAAGCTTTAAATATTTAAACTCTCTACTATTATTATTATTATTATTTCATGAGGCCTTTACCTTCTTTACTTAATATAATCCTGGGTTATCATTTCATAAATGGTTTCAGCTTTAATAACTTCACATTTATTATGTATTTCTTCCTTGTGAGATTTTTCAGTGGAAACCATCTTTCCTGACATTTTGCTGATCTCTGACTTAGGTTAATACTCTTTGGCACTTGGACAACAACCAATTAACATGAA